TGCAGCATGCTCTCATCCTTGTCCCACTCCACCGTCACTCTGTCCCCACTGTCTGACAGTACCAGGTAGCCCTTCTTCAGGTAACTGAACCAGGTGTGCTCCTGGGAGCCCCGGGATTGTGTGTCCAGGTCCGCAATGAGGCCGATGCGGTAGCGCACGCCCTCGGGGTTCCTCTGGGGTGGGGACAGCGGGTAGGTGTCATTGTAGCGGTCCCCTGCCTGCAGCCCGAGCTGCCAGGCACGAGGGCTGGGGGGGCCGTGCCGTGCTGGGGAGGGGCGGTGCAGGCAGAAGAGCAACAGCACGAGCCCCAGGCAGGCTGAGGACAGCACGATGGCCTTCCAGCGCAGTCGGAAGCGAGGGTCAGCACCCTTGGTCATGGACGCGAGCACGGGCAGACCACCCACGCTGATCCGGAGGGGGCTCATAGACTCATGGCAGGGCGGGACTGGCATCAGAGAGGGGGCGAGGAGAACCTGGTGGAAGGAAGGGAGGGAGAAGGTCAGAGAGCTGGATTTGGTGCTGACTGAGCTCGGGGGGCAGCAGAACACAGCCACGAGGGGCCCCGTCCCCTCTCCTGCAGCAGAAGGCGCTCTCACCTCATGCAGGTAAGAGCCATCCTGCCCAGGGGCTGTTTGCTGCTGGAACCACCCTCAGCCCCTCTCACCTGGCTCCCTCTGCGCCCCCTGACCAGGAGCCCCAGCGAGTTGGCAGGACTGGACGGCCCGCCCGGCACCTCTACCTGTGCCATGGTCACTGAAGCTCAGGCAGCTGGCTCAAGGTGAGCCCCGTGTCACAGTGTCCTGGGGCACATCCCCACAGAGTCCTGGGAGGAAGCAGGTTGCCCTCGGGTGGCAAGGATGGCCCTTGCTGCCTCCAGAGTGGCTGGGCAGCCTGGCCCAGCTCCCATGGCCCTGAGAACCAACCCCAGAGATGAGCCCTGAGCTTGTCCCCAGGCACACAGGGACACCGGGAGACACGTGGCAGCTCCGCCCAAGCAGGATGCCAACACCTGAGCAGGAAGCGCAGGGCCCAAGGGGCACACACCCTGACCTGCCCAGCCCCACAGACACGGGACCCCCTCATCCCTGCCCGGGCTCACAGCGTGTCCACACGTGAGCCCACCTGGGCTGTGCCCACCCGCGGGCCCGGGGTCCCAGCAGTGTCCCCTCGGGGCCACCTCCCTCCCTGCGGCACAGAGGACGTGGCAGCACCCGGGCTCCCGCAGCCGGGCACTCCGGGCGGCAAGCAGCCACCGCTGGACCCGCGCTCGCCCCTTGACATGGAGCCGGGGGCACAGACCCCCATCTCGGGGCACAGACCCCCATCCCGGGGCAGAGCTCCCAGCTGCCATGCCAGGGTTTTCTCCCAAGGGCCCGTCCCGCGGGGTCTCAATGTGCCTTTCAGCAGCCATGGTGGCGAACAGAGGCGGCATTGAGCGTGCAGGGCCGGCCCCGGACAGGGCACAGCGCGGAGCCCGCGGGCCGGGGCACGCACCGGGAGCGCCTCCGGTCCTGTCGGGATCCCGGAGCGTGGGCCTGGGCACAGCCCCGGGACCCCTCTGGGGGCACTGACCCCAACCGCGTTGGTAGCCCGCTCTGAGCACGGCCAAGGGGAGCCCTCAAAATACCGGGGTACGGTCACGGGCACCCCCGGGATGGACACGGGGACCCCCAACACCCCCGGGATGGATACGGGGAGCCCGCAGCACCGCCAGGATGGATACGGGGACCCCCCAGCAGCACCGGGCACGGACACGGGCCGCCTCTCTATGGACACGCCGACCCCTCGCTTCCGCCGGGCGCGCCCTTGGGGACCCCCGCGCCCCCTTCCCGGCCGAGCTGAGGAGCAGCCGAGGCACCGCCCGGACCGAGCGGGGCCCCGTTCCCCGCGCCCCCGGGACCTCCGCGCTGGGCACGGCCCCGAGGATCCCAGCGCTGCCGCCCGGGCAGGGTGCTCGAGTTCCGGGGTACCCCCGCCCGGTGGGGACCCCCCCCCCCCCCACCCCTGCCGGCCCGTCCCCGCGCCCCCCGCCCGTGTCCCCGCTCACCGCGGCGCCGCCTCCCCCGCACGCAGCCGCCGCCTACAGCTCCCGGCGGCCCCGCGCGCCGCCGCCGCTCCCGCCAGCGCCCAGGCCTCCCCGTCTGCCGCAGAAACTACAACTCCCAGGAGACCCCCGCGCGTCACCGCACCCCCCCGCCCACCGCCCCGCCCGCCGCGCCGCGGGGGCTGCCGGGGGCTGTGGTCCGCGCTCAGCAGGGCCCGGCGGAGCCCTGGGCGGCTGCAGCCCTTGCGGACAGTGCGGGGCCCGAGGCGGCTCCGCGGGATGGGCACAGCCCGCCTGCCCGGCGGGCATGACCCCAGTGCTGCCCTGCTCCAACACATTCTGTCCTTGTCCTGGCTGCCCCCTATGTCCCGCCGCTCCTCGGGGTGCGGGACCGGGGTAGAGCGAGCCCCGCGCCTTGGGACCCGTGTGCGTGTTCGGCTGCCAAAGGCTGGAGCCCGGTGGGGCTGTGCTGGCCGGGTGCCCTCGGGGCTGTAAGCGGGGCTAGCTGCACCCTCCGGGACCCCAGCAGCTTGGGGGACACGTGCTGGCTGCGGTCCCGGTGCGGCGGCCCCGAGCACGGACGGGAGAGGCGGCCGGTCCCGGAGAGGCGGCCGGTCCCGGGAGCACACATGGTTAAAGCAGCTGCGGGCGCACATCTGGCGGGGGAGGGCTGCGAGCCTCGTCCCGTGCCTCGCTGCCTCCTGCGCTTCCAAAAAGTGCATTTCCGCCCGGGCCGAGCGGGGAGAGGCGGCTCCGGAGCCGGAGGCAGCGCTCGGCCGTAGGCAGGCTCCGCGCTGGCCCGGGGGATGCTTTAGGGCCCCAGAGGTAGGTGGGGGGCACGTTTGGGAGGCCTGACGGTCACCCCCTGAGCTGCAGCGCGTCCTGCTCCCATATGCAAGCGGTGCCGGTACCGGGAGGTGGTGCCGGGTACCGGGAGGCGGCTCCGCCTCGACAAGCGCTCGAGTGTCCTGGCACACCCCCAGCAATCGGTGCCTGTGCCCCCCCAGCCGAGCGAGGCCCTTGCCCTGCCTGCCAAGGAGCAGTGGGGACCCCACGGCTGAGCCTCACAGCAGCCTGAGGGCACGGCCCGACCCACCGCGGCTCCGGGAGGACACAGATCCCCCCAGCCCTGCCCCAGCCGCGTTCCCAAAAAACCTATTGCTACGAACACACCAAGCCCGCGCTGGGCCACCTTCGGCATCTCTTTGGGGGTCACATTGGCTGTTGGGGTCTCTAGCACAACGTCTTGTTGATGCTACAGAAGCTGGAGGGCTGCAGCTACCCCATGCTCCTCCACAACTGCCCTATGCAGCCCCCACCCTGCTGCCTGCCGGGTCTGCCCTGCTCCAGGGAAAAAAAGGGCTCTGCAACCATTCCAGTGTGTGCAGCAGCACATGGGGGGCCTGGCCCACCAGCACGACCCCAGAGGCAAAGCGGTTCTGGCTGCTGTGGTGCAGGGAAGTTTGTATCCACCACCCTAAATGGAGACAGTGAGCTGGGAGTGCAGGTCCTGCTGCCTCCACACTGCCCCAAGCCCCTCATCCCTCCCCTAGGGTTTGTTCCGTTTCATCCTAGTCTTCATCTCCATCTGGAATCTATTTTGGGATGTTTTGACTTGCGGTCCCAAGGCTTCTGCAGCCACTGAGTTTAAATCTCTGGCTGCTCCTGGAGAGCAGCCAACCCTGATGGAAAACCCGCATCCCTCGGCAGGGCTGTGTGTGCAGGTGGGCACCTCCTGCCCAGCACACCTGCAGGGAGCAGGAGGGGCACGCTGGGGGCCCAGCGAACCCCGTGTGCTGCTGACAGCACCCTGTGTGCATCACACACTCGCCTCTGCTCCCCACAGCGGGGGGAGCACTGCCCTCTGCCATGGGAACTTCCTGGGAAGGGTTTCTCCTCGTGGAGCAGCTCCCTGGGACACGGCGTGTTCCCCAGGGCCGAGCCTGCTGCAGGTCCCAGAGGAATGCCTGCTGGGATGGTCCCAGAGCTGAGGGAAAGCCACAGGATTCCCAAAGCCCGGCATGCTCCCTTGCCGTGGTCTGTGCTGCACATCTGGTGCAGCTGGAGGCCAGGCAGGGCGAGCAGACCAGGGCCAAGGCTCTCCTGGGTGACACCTGCTCGCAAGCCCCTGGCTGGCGTCCTCCACTCCTCTATCCATGGATTCACCTCTCCCCTGCCTCCCTTCACACGCGGCAGCACCGAGACAGCGAGGTGACAGACAGACAGACAGAGGATATACACCGGGAAGTGTATGAAGGGGCCAGGCCCTTGGCAGAGGGTTTGAGCAGCAGGAAAAGCCCTTTGGAGCCTTTCCCAATCCCTCCGCCCCTTCCCAGCTCCAGTGACTCACAATCCAGGCATCCGCCCCCGGCCTCAGACGCCCTCCGCACCCGGAGCACGAGCGGTCCCTTGGACCCCGCACGTGGGGACAACGGGAACAGCCACCCATGCTCTGAGAGCAGGCGCTCACCAAACAACGGCACTGTGCCCCAAAATCCGTCATGGGCTGGCTCAGCCAGGACAGGGCTGAGGGGACCCTTTTTGCCTTGGGATCCCTCAGAGCCCGGGGAGCGGAGCCGGGCGGTGCCGCCTGGGAGGGGAGCAGGGCAAAGGCCACAGCCGTATGCCAGCCCAGGGAGGCACCTGGCTGAGATAGCAGCCTGGGTAGCAGCCATCCCCATCCCGCTCGGACCCCGCTGCCGCGGGATGCCCAGCGCTGCCGGGCACTGCTACACCCCTGTTTGGCCAAGGCTGACCTCGGGCCAAAGGGTGAGGTGCTTTGTGCCCGGCCTCACGTCTCCAGCTGATACGGTTTGATAATAGAGGGAGGGGTCACGAAGCGCCCAGGCTGGGCCAAGGTGCCACCACCACTGCAAATATTAGTTTTGGCCCCATACAGGGTGTGGGCTCTCAGAAAGGTTTCTCCCTGTGGCAGCCTGCCCACATCCCTCTTTCTGGAGGAGTGGGTCTTGTCCCCTTGCAAGCCCTTGGGCTGGCAGCCCCCAGGGATGGGAGCCCCTCGCAGGACTGGGGTGCAGATTCCCTCTCTGGGCCCAGCTGGGGTCCCACACACAGGCAGGGCTGCACCCTGACATTTGCCCCATGGTGTCTGGAGCTGTCTGTAATTTTTCAGGTGCTGACATCCCAAATTGCTGCTCTTGGGCGTCCATGGGAGGCAGCTGAAGCCAGGCTGAGCAGCAGCAGCAGCAGCAGCACTTGGTCCAAGACTTGGCCCGGTCAGAGGCTGCTGCTCTGCTCCACTCTCAGCTCCTGAGGTAATCCCATCTCTGTATGTGCCAGGCTCAGGGGCTGCAAGGCCCTGGCCCTTGTGTTGGTGAACCCAGAGCCCCCAAACTGCCCCAACTGGGGTGTCCCCAGGTGCTCACTGGGGTGACACTGTTCCACAGCCCAGCCAGAGCCCAGGGGCTGTGCAGTGCACTGGTCCTGTCCCAGGACAGCTTGGGGCATGGCTGGGCTGGGAGTCTCCTCATTCCTGTGCCCCTCAGCTGTCACTGGCACCTCACAGGGCACTGCCGAGTCATGGAGGGGCTGTGGGTGCCTGGTGTCCTGCTGATCTTCCTGCTGCCCTGCTCTGTGGGGAGCCAGAGCAGCTCCATCCCTGACCAGCGGTGGTGGACAGACCCCAATGAGGCCTCACCCCAGCACCAAGATGCCAGGTGAGGGGACCCCGGAGCCAGGGTACTCTGCAGCGGGGGCCAGGGCAGCCCTGGCAGCACAGAGGGCCCCTGCCCCCCCGTAGCTCCCTGTCGTGCTTTGCTTTCTGCCTTGCCAGGGCCACACAGGAGCAGAAGGCTGATGGTGCCCAGGAGGGGCTGCCCCCACAGCCCCGCTGTGTCCGCTGCTGCCCCCCACCCGAAAAGCGTTTCTACCCCCAGTACCAGCCCATGCCTCAGATCAACATGACCATCCTGAAAGGTGAGGGCTGGCAGGACCCCATGCTGCCTTGTCAGCATTGCCCCAAGCCCAGCACTGAGCTGGGCTCACAGCACAGACTGGGAATGAGAAACTGGGGTGGTGCCAGTGGTCCTGTGCCCTGCACAGACACAGGGCAGGAGCCATGCTGGGGTGTGAGCAGCTCTGGTGGCATCTGGGCAGCAGCATCAGAGCCTGGGGAGAGGGCAGGGGCAGGACTGCTGTGTCCCTCTCCCTCCATCCATCCCTGGGGAAGGGGCTTTTTGGGTGCTGGGCTCAGCTCTGGCCCTTGCCTGACAGCCCAACTCCCTCCTGCTCTGCCCAGGAGAGAAGGGGGACCGTGGGGAGCGTGGCCTGCAGGGCAAGTTCGGCAAGACGGGGGTGGCCGGCAGCAGGGGCCACGCAGGGCCCAAGGGACAGAAGGGCAGCATGGGCGCCCCGGGGGAGCGCTGCAAGAGCCACTACGCCGCCTTCTCCGTGGGCCGCAAGAAACCCCTGCACAGCAACGACTACTACCAGACCCTCATCTTCGACACGGAGTTCGTCAACCTCTACGAACACTTCAACATGTTCACGGGCAAGTTTTACTGCTACATCCCCGGCATCTACTACTTCAGCCTCAACGTGCACACCTGGAACCAGAAGGAGACGTACCTGCACATCATGCGCAACGGGGCGGAGGTGGTGATCCTGTACGCCCAGGTGAGCGACCGCAGCATCATGCAGAGCCAGAGCGTCATGCTGGAGCTGAAGGAGCAGGACGAGGTCTGGGTGCGGCTCTACAAGGGCGAGCGTGAGAACGCCGTGTTCAGCGATGAGTACGACACCTACATCACCTTCAGTGGCCACCTCATCAAGTACAGTGGGGACCCCTGAGCACCAGGCCCTCCTGTGCCAGGCCAGGTGGCCAAGGAGCCCCTGTCCCTCTCATGGCAGGAGTGCCACCCCCGTTATGCTGTTAGTCACCCTAGTGCCAGTACCCCTAGCAGCTGCACCAGTGTGTGAATTCCCTCACTGCGGCGCCTCAAGGCCAACCAGACACACCTGGAAGAGTTGGAGCAGTTTTAATCCCCTGCCACATTAGGGACCAGGAAGCAGCTGCTCACCTGGGGTAGGCAGGGAGCTCACCCACTCTCCCCACTCAGAGCTGGGTTTGCCAGCCTGGCTGAGCTGGCACCAGCAGAGCAGTGTGACTGCTGGTGCAGACACTCACACCGTGTTCCTCCTCATGCCAACGGTGCTCAGCACTATCTAGAAAGGCAATAAACCACTAAGGGTCCTTTCCTGCCACGCTGCAGGTGTTGCAGTGGGGTTGGGTACCCCTGTGGGAAGGGAATTGCGTCATTTCCTTCTGCAGATTCCGTCACTGCTCACCACAGCCTCTGCTCAGGAAGGGCTCTCTCCCCACCAGCAGCCCTGGGAGTGGGGCCTTTGGCCTCAGCCACTTCCTCTTCCCTGAGGTTATCTGCTGGCCAGGCTTCATGTTTGTGTAGATGCAACAGTAGCGTGGGCCAGCGTGCTGACCCCCCTTTCAGCTCATGCCACATTAAACACCTCACATTTCCAGCCTTGCTCACACCCTCAGTGTCCTCTTGCTTTGTTTTGGGAGGCTCCAGGGGACTCAGGGCAGGGTTCTGCTCCTGGGGTGCAGGGGCTCCCCTAGAGCTGGCATGGTGCTGCTGAGCTGGGGATGGAGAGGGAAGAGCAGAGTGTCCCTGGAGAGCCGGGAGACCTGAGCCAGGCACTGCATGGACCAGCTGTGCCCCAGAGCTGCACGCAGTGACAGAACTGTCAGCCTGGCAGCAGGACAGGCTGGGAAGGGTGGCAGGGCTGTCAGGAGTGCAGGTCATCCAGCACATCCACGGGGAGCAGGTGGGTCTGGGGGTGTCAGGGTCTGGATTGGCAGGTCTGTGGCTGGGCTGAGCAGGGCTGCAGCTGGAAACCAGAACCCCAGGAACAGGAGAGAGGGGAACGGGCTGGCGGGACTCAGGATGACCTGAAATAGAGCCCTGGCCCCACGTGTGGAGAGTGGGTGAATGGTGGAGGCAGGTCAGGCCGTTCACTGCTGTGCCTGTGGGGTGGGGGCATCAGCTCAGGGCCCCAGCCTGGTCCCATGGCACGGACAAAGCTCCTTGGCCACACTGGCCCCTGGGGACCAGACACCATCTCCATCCCCAAGTGCCCAGCAGGGGCTGTTATGGACACAGGTGACATCCCAGCACATGGACTCATTCTACCCCAGGACACGCAATGCATTCACAGGCATGTGAATGGCAGCCATCCCGGGACACTTAGCCCATCCCGGGACACTCAGCCCATCCCGGGACACACACGGTCCATCCCGGGACATTCAGCCCATCCCGGGACACTCAGCCCATCCCGGGACACACACGGTCCATCCCGGGACACGGGGGGCGGTACCGGGGGCGGGCCGGGGGCGGTGCGGGCCGGGCGGGCGGAGCTGCGGGGCCGCGCCCCCGGGAGAGCCGGGCCCGGTGGCGGCGGCGGCGCCGTCAGTGCAGCGGCGGCGGCGGCGGCAGCGCCATGGCGGAGGCGGCGGAGGGCCCGGGGCGGCGCGGGAAGAGAACGGGCACCGAACCCGACACCGGGGAACCGGCCGAGGCCGAGCGGGCCGCGCGGCGCCGGCGGAGGTGGATGGCGGGGCCAGGCCGGGACCGGGACGGGGATGGGGATATGGGATGGGTTCCGGGACCGGGAGCGCGGTGCGGACCGGGGCCGGGGCTGGCAGGACCCGGTCGGCGCTGGCCGCGGTGCTGGCCCGGCCCGGCCCTCACTCGCCTCCCGGGACAGCTTCCAGCCGGCGGCGGACATGCAGGGGACCACTGTCCTGCACGACACCATCAGCGACCGCCCGCAGCCCCTGCCAGGTGAGGCGGGCACCGGGAGAGACCCCGCCGGGATGGGGCAGTGCCGGTGCCGCACGGAGCTGCACGGGCACTGCTCACTGCTGACCCTCACCTGTCTGCCCATCCTGCCCAGCACGCTACTTCGACACGAAGACGACGGAGCCCATCAGCTTCTTCTTGTCCGGCCTGGAGGAGCTGCTGGCCTGGCAGCCCGACAGCAACGATGAGTTCAACGTGTCAGCCGTGCCTCTGGCCGAGCGGCAGCCCCCGCTCCGCGGCAGGCGGCCCCGGACGCTGGTGTGCCACGATATGCGTGGCGGGTACCTGGAGGACAGGTACGTGCTAGGTAGAAAGGAGGTGTGACAGTGGAGCCCAACCTCTCAAACTTCTGTTTCTGCCTGACATGTGTCCTGCCAGCTCAGCCGCGGGTGGGCAGGGATGGATGGGGTGATTAGCTCTTGCACCAGTGCTTGGGGAGCCTTACTCAGGCTGGGATGTTCAGAGGTGGCTCAGTGCCACAGCTCTGCTCAGCTCCAGCTGTGAGTCAGGCTCCTACCCAGCCCCGCAGGATCTGCCAGCGTCCTTCCTGCACTGCCCAACCCTTTTCCGTCTGCAGGTTCATCCAGGGCTCGGCCACACGCAATCCCTATGTCTTCTACCACTGGCGTTACATCGACATCTTCGTCTACTTCAGCCACCACACTGTGACCATCCCGCCCGTGGTCTGGACCAATGCAGCACACCGGAACAGCGTCCCTGTGCTGGGTAAGGGCAGGGCTGGGCCTGGGGCAGCCCCAGCAGGGAGGTGGATTCACCAGGATGTGCGGCCGACGCTCTCGCTGCCTCCCCAGGCACGTTCATCACGGAGTGGACAGACGGGGAGAAGCTGTGCGAGGCGTTCCTGGCCGGTGGCGAGGAGGCGTTCGGCGCGGTGGCCGAGCAGCTGGCCCTCATTGCCCAGCACTTCCGCTTCGACGGCTGGCTGGTCAACATCGAGAACAAGCTGAGCGTGAGCGCTGCTGGCCCTGCTCGCCCCCTGCCTCTCCCTGCCTTCGTGCTTTCCCCTGGGGAGCCCCTGCCCCCGCCCTCACCCACCTGTGTGTGCTCTCTCCTGGCAGGAGGCAGCCGTGGGCAACCTGCCCCTGTTCCTGCGGGACCTGACGGCACGGGTGCACAGCGCCGTGCCAGGAGGACTGGTGATCTGGTATGACAGCGTCCTGAAGGATGGCACGCTGAGGTGGCAGAACGAGCTGAACGATCAGAATAGGTGAGCCTGGCAAAACTGTCCCTGGGCAGGGAGCATGAGCCCACCTCACAGCCAGCGTGACAGTGGTCAGGCACAACCTTTATGGCCCTTGGTGAGGCCGTGTGACCTTAAGATCGCCCCTGCCACTCTGGTCCTTGTCCCCAGGATATTCTTTGATGCCTGTGACGGGCTGTTCACCAACTACAACTGGAAAGAGGAGCAGCTGGAGCGCACACAGAGGCTGGCTGGTCCACGCCTCAACGACGTCTATGTCGGTGTTGATGTCTTTGGCCGTGGGGATGTGATTGGTGGTGGCTTCGACACTGACAAGGTGGGTGTGACAGGGGACAGGGCTGGGCCACAGTGCTCACAGTCCCCTGGTGCAGGGCTCTGAGCTCCCACTGGTGGCCCTGCTGGGCTGTGCTGTGTTGGGCTGCTAACCTGGGGATGAACTGGTAAGGAGTGAGGGATCTCAGAGTGCTGGCCATGCGTGAAGTGGGAGTTGGAGGATCCCAGTGCTGCCATCCCTGAAAAGGGAGATGCTGCAGCACATCCCTGTAGTGCCCTGCCCCACCGTGGGGCCAGTGGAACCTGGGGGAGTGGGGACAGGACGGGTGACAAGGTGACTGCCTGGCCTGGCCCGTGCTGCTCACCTGTCCTTTCTGCAGTCGCTGCGCATGATCCGGCAGTTCGGCCTCTCCACAGCCATCTTTGCTCCTGGCTGGGTCTACGAGCACCTGGGGAAGGAAAACTTCCTGCAGAATGAGAACAGGTGAGGGCAGGTGCTGGGTGAGGAAGGGGGCCAGCAGTGCCCAGGCTCAGGAAGGCTGTGGGTGGTGGGACACAGCCACAGGGACACTGTGGCTCTCAGAACACCCTGGCTGCTGGCCAGGAGTCAGCTTGGCCCTGTTCTGCCCCAGCTGAGGCGATACCTGAGGCCGTGCAGGGCAGTGACCATAACAAGGTCACTGTTAACAGGGGGCTCTGCCCTGACACCCACCTTTACCTCCAGGTTCTGGGGCTCGCTGGCCGAGTACCTGCCCACGCACAGCATTTGCACACTGCCCCTCACCACCTCCTTCTGCCTGGGCATGGGCACCAGCACGTTCCGGGATGGGAAGGTGAGTGCAGGGTGACAACTCTGCTCTGGTCAGGCTGGGCTGGGCTGGGCAGAGGGGTCCTTGCCCTTGGCTGCCCCAGCTCAGCTCTCCCTGTGCTGTAGGATGAACAGTCTGGGCCCTGGTACGACCTGAGTGCACAGGACATCCAGCCCCTGTATCCGGAGCAGCAGGGCATGCTGAGTGCCAGCTGCTGCCTGCAGGATGCCTGGTGTGGGGGCAGCTCCCTGCAGCTGCAGGGCATCATTCCCCCCGGCGAGGAGCGTGTGGCTGTCCGGTGAGTGAAGAGACCCCTCCTCAGCGCTGGGCTGGCACCGTGTCAGCGTGGCATGGCCCGAGCTGTGTGGCCCCGGGGCCTTGTGGCGAGCGTGCCCAGGCTCTGCCCACACTGCCCATCACACCTAACACAATGCACCTTCTCTTTGTCTCTCTCTCTCTCTGTCTCTGTCTCTCTCTGGGTGGATTTGGGGTCATCAGCCTCTTCTCTTTGCAGATGCCAGCCCCCCCCAAGCTCTTCCTGACCCTGCTCTACAAGCTGGAGGGGCCACAGCCCGATGACTTTACAGTGGCACTGGAGGTCACCACCTGGGACTCGGGGACGTGCTTCGAGGGCAACCCGACCTCGCTGCCTGGTGAGGACCCTGTCCCCCCGTGCTCCCCGCGGTGAGCACCTGCTGTAGAACGTGGGACCAGCTCAGTCCCTCACCCCTGACCTGGCTCCCTGTGGCAGAGCCCAATGGCCGGTACTACCCCCGGTTCCTCCCGGCTCCGCCTCCCGGCCTGGCCAAGCTGCTCGCCGCCTGCCACCGTGGCTCCCAAGGCTGGACCAGCCGGTGAGTACCTGCCTGCACCCGTGTCCACAGGCTGGCACGGGACACCAGGCCTCCATTCCTGCTCTGCGTCTTCCCTCTCAGGTGCTACGAGCTGGAGCTGCAGGACTGCAGCCTACGAGACCTCTCCTTGATTGTGTCCCGCCAGCAGCCCAGCCCGCAGGAGACGCCCTTCACCTGCCTGCTCGGGGAGGTCCGGGTGAGTGCTTGGGGGAGACACTGCCCCGGTGCCACCCTTGTTCTGGGAAGGTGTGTGGGTGCCCGCTCTGACCCTGGCAGTGCTGTGGTTCCTTCGCAGGTGCTGGACACGGCCAGCGTGGCGGCCTCCCCAGCGCAGGTGTACGGCGTGGCAGCCTCGCAGCTCTGGTGGCAGGAGGGTCCCGAGCCCGACCTGCTCTCGCTCAGCCTCACCCTGCGCTGGTCCTTCCCTCCTGGCCGTGCCAGATGGTTCCGTGTGCTGAGCCAGGGCGCCCGGTGCCGCCTGGGCCAGACGGCGCCGCAGGTGCTGGGGCTGGCCCAGGGCTGCCTCTTCCGAGCCGTGGGGCTGGTGGTGCCGCGGCCAGCACCGGGCCAGTCCTGCCGGCTGGAGCTGCTGGTGGAACCCGTGCTGAGGGACGAGCTGCCCGTGGACCCCGAGCGCTGGGGCCGCCTCGTGCTGGTCTACTCTGCACCAGGCAATGGCACCGGCTCGGATGGGTATTAAAACAACTGTGGCGCAGCCCGTGCCCTGTCTGCTCCATGGGGAGGCTGGGCTGTGGGTGGGGGACACAGAGGGAGGCTGCATTTCATCTCCCTGGGCCGGTGATGGGCTGCATTTCATCTCCCTGGGCCGGTGATGGGCTGCATTTCATCTCCCTGCGCTGGTGATGGGCTGCATTTCATCACCCTTTCCTCCCACCCCTGTGCTTGTGCTCAGCAGGAACCCCCAACATGTGTGACCCCAGACTGGGGCAGCTGCCCTGAGAACCCCATCACTCCTGCAGCCCTCACTGCCTCAAGCTGTCTGCCCACGGGCTGGGGATACTTGCCCTAAGCCCCCAAGGACTCAGGCTGGTGGGGAGCTGCCAGCACGGGCTCTGCAGCAGCCCCAAGGAGCAGCCCAGCATGGGTGACCACTGTGCTCATTAACGTGGACCCAGCCTACGCTGCCTCCCCTGAGCATCTTGTGAGGAGGAGAGAAAATTTATAGCAGCAATTATTTTCTCACAGTCTGGTGAGCAAGCAATTAGCAGGCAGGAGCAGACGAGCGCTCCTACAGCGGGGTCCCAAGCCCTGTCCCCAAACAATGCAGGCTCCACCAGGGACACCAATGCCAGCAGTGCAGCTGCTGCTCCTGGGGTGCTCAGGAATGTATTACCTGATGGCTTGAGGAATGAAGGGCTTGGTCCAACCAGGAGAAGGCTCTTCACCCCCTGCTCCCTCACCATGGCGAGGCCAGGGATCCCAAGGGTTCCCCACTTGCCCACAGACTCTGGCCCCTGCCCAGCCAGGTCCACTGTAGCAGCCACAGCCCCGTGCCCCCTGCAGCGCAACCAGTCAAAACCTGAGTCGCCCTGGTTGAAGAAAGAAATCTTTATTAATAATTTCAATAATAATAATAATAATAATCCTTGTAATAATAATAATAATAATAATAATAATAATAATAATAATAATAATAATAATAATAATAATAATAATACTGTTTATTAGAATGGTCACACTTTGAAGCATACAGGATGGGCTGGTGCCAGCCCGCACGCCGGGGCGGCGCAGGGGTGCTGTAAGGGAGAAGCCGGTACAGCGATGGACGGAGCTTTGTACAGGGGCGGGGCCGGGGCTATGTACACCGGGAATAGAAAAGGGGGAGCTCATCGCTGGGGCTCGGGGGCGTCTGCAGACTATAAAGTGAGGTTTGAGGAGTGGCAGGGCCGTAGGGGCGCTGCACCCCGGGACGGGCTCCGCAGCGCCCACGTGCCCACGCCCTCGTGGCTTGGGTGGGTCCCCTGCACCCACCCTGGGGTGGGTGATGCAGTGGCCGAGACCCCGCACCCAGGGCTGGGGGCATCCTGCTGCCCCGGGCAGGGACGGGTGGCCATGAGCGTGTCCCGTGCCACAGAGCAAGACTGGGGCAGCGCCTGGCCCAGCTCTGGTCAGGGCTGCTGGCCCAGGCTGGGTGGGAGCGCAGGTGTCAGGGAAGGAGGGGGGAAGAAGGGGAAGGGGTCACAAGCGAGTTGCAAGCTCCTCTTAACAAAAATTCCCTTTAAAAGGCAGAGGGTCTTCCCCTGCAATACCTCAGCACCGCAGCCGCCCCAGCTCCGCCTGGAGCCGAGGCCTCGCACACTTGACACACTGATGGCCACCAGGGCTCGGGGGGCACCGGCCCAGGTGCCCACCCCGTCACCCGGCCCCACGAGCCGGGCAGGGCGCAGCGCTCTGCCGGCACCCCCAGCGCTGGGCGCCGGGGAAAGGAAGACGTGGCGCCCAGGCCTGCACCTGGGCAGGTGAGAGCCCCACGGACCCTCACGCCTGCCTGCACCGGCTCCCTCCCTGCTGGGCTCTGGGGCCGGGGTCCCTCCGCTGGGTTCGCCCGCCGGTGCTCGCCGCGGCTCCTCTGGGACTCGCTCACGGTGTGTGTGGACAGGTGGGACTCACTTGGCTGCTGCCGCTTGGCTTTGTTTCTCTTTTTTTTTTTTTTTTTTTGTTTTTTTGTTGGTTTTTTTTGTTGTTGTTGCTTTGCTTTTAATTTTTATATTTTGGGGTTCTTTTTTTTTGATACAGCCTTACTGATTACAGAGTATTTCCTTCTATATCACTTGTGGCTTGTATTTTTTATTTTGTGTGTGTGTGGATTATTTTTGCCCTTCCTGGTCCCAGAAGGAAACAGCCACGGATTCACTACAACAGAAACAAGAGAGGCAGGTCTTTCGCTGAAGCACTCAGGCCGAGCTGCTGGCCAGGGGCACGCAGCCGCCATCCCACAGCCCAGCGAGCCCACGCAGCCAGCCCAGCCCATCACACTCAGCCCCGGGATCCTGAACCCAGCCAGCCTCACCAGTCCCCACAGCTGGCAGCAAGCCCAGCTGGCTCCTCTCTCTCCTAGGGGGGCACAGGGGCTGCTCGGGGGGCTGCTGTCACCCAGCATCCCTGCAGGCTGAGCACCCCGCCTGGGATGAGCCCTCTGCACCCAGCCAGGGCACGAGGGGACCCCACACCCGGCTGTGGGAACGGGGCTGAGGGCTGGCCCCGCTCCCCGCGGTCCCCAGGGCGGGTGGATGGAGCAGGAGAGGCGGGCGGGCAGCAGGACGGAGTGCTCAGGTGACCCTATGGGTGTGGGCTCAGTGGCCCCACAGAGCCCCGGCCACCCGGGCAGCACCCGCGGCTCCTCCGCAGGCTCGGCCTCGGCTCTGTCTGCCTGGTTTGGTTTGGTGCTAGTGAGCATCGGGGGCAGTGGTGGGGGGGCTGGGTCTGTCTTGCTAGTAGGGAGTGAAGCGGCTGTACCCTCCTCGGTATAGACTAGCCTGCAACATCAAAGATGAAAAAAAAGCCAATCAGTATTCAGAGATAGCCAAAGCCTAGATCTTCCCTTTTTTCTCTTCTTTTTTTTTTTTTTTTTCCTCCTGTTTCAAATGACACCAAATCGTTGCTGTCCTCGGGCTGTGAGGGGCAGGCAGGGCCAGGGTGCCCAGTGCTGCCCAGGCTCTGTGGCCATGGTGGCCACGGGCACTGGCCTGGGGGCAGGGGCTGCCACACGCCTCCAGTGTGGCACTGCTGTGCCATGCCTGCCAAGGAGCTGCCCCCATCCCCGCCGTGGCACTGAGCTCAAAACCCCCAGGATGTAGTGCCCGTGGCCCCTCACTAGCAGCTGCCCAGGGAGTAAAAAAAGGCAGAAAAAGGCAGGTTGGTTTTGCGATCCCAGCCGAGAGTGCAGTTTTTCATCTTTGATGCTGTCAGAGCTGACCAAGAGCTGTGGTGTGAGGGGCTGCAGGGACCCCGTGTGTGGCTGCACGGAGGCCCTGGGGACACTGTCCTGCACTGGGGTGACGCAGGGGGTCCTGCAACCTGACCAGGCAGCGCTGGGGGGGCAACCAGGCCCCTGGGAATTGGGCAGGACTGTGCAGGGTGTGAGGGGAAGGTGGGGCAGGGGTGCAGGGTTGGGGGGCTCCTCTCCTGCAGACAGAGCCAGGCAGGGGCTGTGCCATTCCCCCTCCCCTCCCACAGCTGCCCCGTGCCCCACGGCCCCACGGCCGCTGTGCCAGACCCTCCCTGGGCTGGCTGCAGCCCCCCGGGAAGCAGAGGAAGCCCGAGGGGCTGCTCTTACCATGGTGCCGATGCTGTAGGTGGCGGCGGGGCCGATGGTGTGGTGGTAGGGGTCTGCAGCTGCGTACACTCTGCCATAGCTGGGAGCAAACAGCGCTGGGTGTTAATGCCAACAGCCGGGCTCCTGTGCCCCCCAGAGCCCTCCCTCCCAGCCACACTCGAGAGCCCCCCGGGACCTCCCTGCTCCCCCAGCCCAGCCCTGAGCAGAGCGAGGGGTCCTTCCCCATGCCTGACCCCAGAGAGCTGGGGGTGTCACAGCGGGCAGTGCAGGGGTCACAGAGCTGGAGGTGTCACAGCGGGCAGTGCAGGGGTCACAGAGCTGGGGGTGTCACAGCGGGCAGTGCAGGGGTCACNGGTGTCACAGCGGGCAGTGCAGGGGTCACAGAGCTGGGGGTGTCACAGCGGGCAGTGCAGGGGTCACGGGGAGCTGGGGCTGTCACAGTGGGCAGTGCAGGGGTCACAGAGCTCTAGGGGTGTCACAGCGGGCAGTGCAGGGGTCACAGAGCTGGGGGTGTCACAGCGGGCAGTGCAGGGGTCACAGAGCTGGGGGTGTCACATTGGGCAGTGCAGGGGTCACGGGGAGCTGGGGGTGTGACAGTGGGCAGTGCAGGGGTCACAGAGCTGGGGGTGTCACATTGGGCAGTGCAGGGGTCACAGGGAGCTGGGGGTGTGACAGTGGGCAGTGCAGGGGTCACAGAGCTGGGGCTGTCACAGCGGGCAGTGCAGGGGTCACAGAGCTGGGGGTGTCACAGTGGGCAGTGCAGGGGTCACAGAGCTGGGGGTGTCACAGTGGGCAGTGCAGGGGTCACAGGTTGCTCCCCCAGGTGTGATGCCCAGCACTCACCTGTCACTGTACGCAGCCGCTGCTGCTGCGGGCTGGGCGTACCTGTAGGCAGCATAGCCCCCCTGCAGGAGGAGAGATTGGTAAGGGGCTGCACCCACCGCGGGGGTGGGGGGCAGCTGGGTGCCCCATGGCACTGCACAGAGTAGTGTGGGAGCTGGTGCCAATGCCACTGGGCACGCATCAGCCTCATTACCATTCCCCAGGGGCTTTCACAAACATTAACCTTAAAAAATTAAATTTCCAGAGAAGAGACTGTCACCTCCCCGCTCGCTTTAATGAGGTGTCACGTTAGATAAATCCTTCAGTGCCCGCCTGAAATATCGCCGCTGGCTCCTCAGACACGGAGGTTAAACGCGGCTGTAAGGAACCGGGGCCGTAAATCCTGCCTGGCACCAGCCCTGCAAGGGGGCTGGCAGGGGCACAGGACTGGGCACAGGGCCCCGTGAGGTGGGTGCCACCCAGATTGCTTTGGAGGAGCTGTACTGCGTTCATGCCCTTGCTGCAACCCAGGGGAAGGGTTGGAGGGGGCAGAGCCCACCACGGACTCGTGTGATGCCACTTGCCCCCCATGTGATGCCACTTGCCCCCTGTGCTGGCACGGGGTCCCCGTCACAGCCCAGCCCTGGGCACAGTGTCACTTACGTAGATCTCAGCTCCGTAGAACCCATCCTGGTACACGACCCTGGAAAGGAGGTGGAGGCATCAGAGCCCGGCCCGTGCCCCTGGAGCAGCAGAGTGGGGTGAGGGCAGGGAATGGGGGAGCTGCCTCAGCCCCACAGCTGATGGCCAAGGAGGGGCTGGCCAGGCCCCACAGGCATGTCTGGGATTCTGGGCAGGGACTTGGGGACACGCAGAGGGCACAGCCACGGGCAGGGCATGCCAGAGGAGGATCCCAGGGCAGGATCTCTGCTGGGAGCGGCCAAGCAGCCATGGATGGGCATGGCTGTGTCTGTGCCATCACCGCTGCGTGTGCTGGGAAAGTTCCCATTAAACCATTACTCCATTATTCCCTGGCTGGAACAACGTCCTGTGCCTTGGTGTACAGGACACTGCTGAGTGTGTGGGTCACCCCGAGGGCAGAGACTGGGGCTGGGACAGAGCCCCATGGCCAGGCAGGTGCCGCAGGAGCTGCAGCCTGCTCCCGACGTGCGATGCCAAGGCAGACCCGGAGCAGGGGCAGCACATCCTAACCCTGCCCTGACAGCACACACAGCACACACACCCCCTGCCCTGACAGCACACACACCCCCTGCCCTGGCAGCCCCCGGTACTCACGCGCCGTAGGCAGGGATGGGCGGTGGCGGTGGTGCGGCTCGGAAGGTGTTGTACACGGCACGGCCCCGGCCCCGCAGGTGCGCCCCTCGGTACGCCACGGCCGTGCCCGTGGCCGGGTACGGGAACCCCGTCACTGCAGGAGGCACGGGACACCTGTGGGCTGTGCACAGCAGCTCCACACAGCCCCCACGGGGCAGCACAGAGCCCACCCCTGGACCCCCAGCCTGGCAGGGACATGGCCCCGTGGGGATGGGAAGGGATAGGATAGGAACTGTCCAGGTAGGTGCGAAGGACAGAGAGAGGGACCAGTGGCCGCACAGAGCAGTGGCAGGCCCAGCGCAGAGCTGACATTTGGGGGTCAGGTACTGCTGCAGCCTGACATTACCTGCGTAGAATTCGGGGCCGTAGACTGCTCCCACCACTGGGTTCAGCTTCCAGCCTGTGGGCAGAAAAGCTGGTGAGGACAGGGCACTCTCCATGGTGCTCTGAGCAGACACAGCCCCATCCCCAGGCAGGAGGAGGGCATGGAGCATTGCTCTCCCATTTGACTGCAGGTGTGGAGGGCATTCACTGCAGCTGGACAGTGCTAGTGCCTGGAGCTGCCCCTGCCTGCAGCCCCTGCTCTCTGGATGCTGGCCCTTACCGTTGGTGTAGGGGTTGGCCACCTTCTTGTTGGTCATGACCCGGGCCGTGGCGTTGTTCACCTGGAGGGAGAAGGATGGGGCTCAGTGCCCGGGGCACGGGGAGCTGCTGAGGCCGTGGTCCAGGGCCCGCTCGGCTGCGCTCAGCGCCGCTGCTGCTTCGGGTGCCGGAGCAAAGGATGCACCAGGGACACGAGACAAGGCTGTGCCCGCAGCACCCCGCTGTGCACAGCCCTGCCCGTGCCTCCAGCCAGCCCAGGCCTCCCTGCTCCAGCTGGGAGCTGGTGGCTGGTGCCCCAAGAGCTGTGGTGCCATGCTCAGGGTGAGCCCCCACATGCTGCCCGTGAGCTCCTGCCCGATTTTATTGGATGATGTTTTCCTTGTCCATGGGGCACTGCCAGGCTCCCTCTCTGCCATCAGCACTGCTGGGGACGTTTTGTCCCACTCCCTCTGCCACCCTGCTGCCCACCACTCACCAGCAGCAGTGAGGAGCTGCTGGCAAATGGGCAGAGCCTGATCCCTGTGCTAATCAAAAATGAAAAATCAAAAAGAAATCAAAGCCTCTGGGGCTGGGCAGCTGCTGGCACTGCAGGTGTGGAGCTGTGAGTGGATCCTCCCTCCCAGCACACACCAGGGGGGACGGCATGCGGGGCACAGCCCCAAAGCTCCCTGCAGAGCCCGGGGCGGCTGCTGCGGGCACGGGGCTCTGCCAGACTTGTCTGTACCAGGCAGAACGCAGCCCCAGCTGAGACCCTGGCTCTCCGTGCACCCGGGAGGCTCCTCTGGGCCAGACACTCCTTGTGCCATGCGATGACCTTCCCAGCAGCTGGCACACATGCTGCCGTGCCACATTCAGGGACACATGCACACGCCGGGCACGGTGACCTGGGGCACCCAGAGCTGTCCCCAGGTGCCCCCGAGCCCGGCAGGGGACACGCACACGCAGGCATGGCACGGCACTAGCACACTTATCTGAGCACCTCAATCTTCCGGCCCTCTACGATGGTGCCATTCAGCTTCTCCCGTGCCCGGTCGGCATCTGTGCTAGTTTCAAAAGTTACAAACCCAAAACCCTGTGAGCAGAGGAGAAAAGGAGAAAGAAAGAGACAGAGAGAAACAGAGAGAGGGTGTGGGGACAGAGAGAGAGAGGGGGTGAATCAGGAGAGCTGGCGCAGGAGGTGAAGCTGCCACAGTGCAGAGAAGAAGAGCCCAGACTGGGGTCCCCGCCGGGCCGGGGGTCCTGGCTGAGGCCCCAGAATCGCCCACGAGCTGGGAGAAGAGTCTGGGAGAGGGGCACAGAAAGCAGGGAAGATACAACAGAGACATCCAGACACAGAGGGACACGAGCTGCCCGTGGCAGGACAGAGCGAGCCCTCTCCTCCCTCCAGTGCCGGGCACAGGGACCCACGACCTCCCCAGTTGGCACCGGGGCTGCCCCGATGGGGCACTGCATGCCAGGGTCCCATGGGACAGGAGAGGAGGGGAGAGCAGGTCACAGCACTGCTGGGCAGCCTGGCTCCACTGACACCCTCCCCAGGACTCGCTGTATGGTGCTGGCCATGGGCATCACCCACCTTGGAGCCCCGCTCATTGAAAATGATCTCCACATCCAGAATTTTCCCGAATTGCTGCAAGTGGAGAGAACAGAGAGGTGAGTGCCTGCAAAGCCCCCGGCCCTGCACCCAGAGCTGCTGGCATGGGGCTCTGTGCCAGGGATGGGCAGAGGGCTGCCTTGGGGGCCACACCTGGGGACCCCCAGGCCTTGTCCCTCCCACGGCTCCCACTCGGACTGGACTGGGGCAGTGTCATCCAAAATTTCCTTAGCTGGCTCTGCTCTGAGTCCTAATGAGGCAAGGGGACAGCAGAGGGGGACAAGGGCTCTACGTCACTCCCACTGCACACACAGGGGCTGGGCAGTACAGGCCCTTGGGAGGTGACAGTGCCAAGGTCCCGATGGTGCCACGGGGCAGCACTGAGCAGGGATTGATGGCTGGGTGGAGCTGCACTCACCCCAAACATTTGCCGCAGGTCGGGGTCCCGGAATCGAAAGGGAATGTTGGAGACGTGTAACCTCTTGGGCTGCTGCTTGTCTGTGTTGTCTGACGAGTGTAGCTGCTGGCTGTCTGTCTGTGCCGCCTCGTCTGTCTGCTGTGGGGGGCACCGCTGCCATCAGCCCCTGGCCGTGCCAGCCCCGTGTCCCCAGCACGGACACCCTGGACGCTGTGGTCCCCAGGCTCTGGGCAGTGCCCCACGCGTGTCCCTCCCTCCTGGTGAGCAGGGGGATGACGGTGGGGCTATGGGGGTGCAGAGGCTGCACTCAGGACCATGCGGAAGGACCGGAAAGTGCTGAGCTCAGCACCTTCCTGGTGCTGCATTCCAGCCCTGTAATTGCCACGATTTTGCAGAGCAGAGCCAGGCAGGTGGATTGATGAGAAAAGATGGGGGGCTGTGAGGAGGAGTGATGGTATGAACACAGCCTGGAACCCTGTGGCACTTTGTCCAGGCAGCACCACTGCCCCAGGACCCTCCTGGCAGCTCTGTCACTGCCCAGGATCCCCGCAGCAGGACTGCCCCTGCACCCCCAGTGCCTGTGGCAGTGTCCTGAGCCCACCCAGAGCCCGAGGCACCCCCGGGGCGCCGCCTTACCGGTACTGTCTGTGTCCCTGCTATGGACTGTGTGCTGGGCTCGCTGCCGGGCTGCTCGCTGTGGCTCTGTGCTGGTGTGTAGAGGCTCATGGCGTGCTCCGGGACCGTGCTCTGCCCCGGGTAGTCCTGCGTGGGGTGGGGGTGCGGCGGGGCGAACTCTGCGGGGATCCCGTTCTGGGGGGGCGGGGGGTACTGGGCTGGGGGGTAGGGCTGAGCCATCGCGTCCGGCGGGGCCGTGGCGTCCTGGTTACCCTGCCGAGAGAGCGGCACCGACCCCTCAGCTGCTGGCACTGCTGGGCTGCCACTGCCCCGGGAGGGGCTTCTGATCTCCGCACCCAGCCCCACTCACCCCACTACAGCCTTTGGTGTGTCCCCAAACCCTGTGCTGTCTCTGTGCTCTGGTGGCTTTGGGGTCACGTTCCATCCTCTCCTGCTCCTATCCCTGCCTGTCCAGTGCGCTGGGGCTCGGGTAGGAGGACGGAGGCGTCCATGTGAGGTTTAAGTCCTGAAGCTGGCTCCTGAATATCCCTCTCCTTGGGAAGGGAGATGTGGTCAGGCCCCATTTTGGAGCCCAGCACAGCTGGGAGCTGCACCAGCACTGGCTGAGCAGGCTGGGAGGGGTGTCAGGGAGGGATGCTGATGACCCCTTGGCAAACACCAGACAGGGATCAATTAACTGCTAAATATTTGATGAGGCCCTTTGCTCTAACGCAGCTGGCTTGGCCGCCTTGGCCAAATGAGGTGAGCTGCACCCACGCCAAGGGCTGCTGGGGTTTGCGTGGGGCTGGGAGCACAGCGCGGTCTGCACCTCCACCCACCCACCCACTGCCCATCTCCACAGCCCAGCACACGCCCAGGTGTGCGCTGCACCTGCGGCCGGCTGCAGCTGCAGCCCCAGGGCAGTGCCAGGGCTGTGGGGCAGCGCCCGCAGCCCCTTGGATGCTTCAGAGCCTGCTGCAGCAGCCTCTGGCCTGTGAAATCCATCTGTGGCTCAGCCCGCAGAGACAAGCTACTTAATTGTGTGTGTCGCCGATTTATGTTGGGGAGGGACGGCGGGGGTGGCGGGGGGATGCGCTGGCAGCTGCCATCCCCAGCCCGCAGGGCAGCGAGGGTGGCAGCGGAGCCGCAGCGGGGACACACAGCGGGAATAGCCCCGCTGCAGATCTGCAAGTCATCGGCAGCAGCGGCAGCGCCTGCCCGCGCTGACTCAGCTGCTCGGGACGCGCCAGCCTCCCGAGGCACCTGCCCGAGTGCGCAGGGGCTGTCACCAGCCAGGAGCCCAGCCCCTGCACGGCCCTGCCCCGGCACGGGCACAGGGAGCTGCCCACGCCGCTCCTGCCCACACCCAGGTGTTAATTCCACCTGGCAGGCCGGAGGGTCCCTTCTGTTCTCGCCTGGGTCTCGGCACCCAACTCCTCCCCAGGGAGCCACCGTGGGCACTCCGCAGTGCCCGCCTGCGCCCCCAGTACCTGCTGCCCACCCCTCCCTGCCTGTCCCTGGCGCCCTGTGCCCATCCCTCCCTGCCTGCGTGTGCAGAACCAGCAGCAGCCCCCATCCCTCCCCTCCTGCCTGCTCTGCCCTGGGTTCATCCTCGCAGTCACCACAGCCAGGATCAGTCACCAACGCAGGGACCAGGATGTCAGCGGGCAGATGGAACAGGGACTGTCCCCACCTGCCCAGGTCTTGGGCCCTCCTGGCCCCTGATCAGCCTGTCCCAACAGCCACGTTCGTACCAGTTATTAATTAGGGCTGTCGCAGTGCCTGTCAGCCTGGCTATTATTTCATTCAGGGACCATTAGGTTCCCCTGGCTGCTGCTCATGGCACTGGAGCTGCGGGTGCTGCAGACACAGATCCACAGCTTCCAGCGCCTCCTGTCCTCTCCCAGAGCCTGGCCACCCCCTCTGGGGCCAGAGCTGCTCCATCAGGGCTGCACCCCATGGGTGAGGCTGCCATGGGAAGGGGACGCTGACAGGTTTGGCTGTGTGCTGCCCGCTGACATCACACTACTCGGTTCCACACCCCATGCTGCCCCCACCACTGCAACAGCCCCATCCCTGGGCAGCCCCCAGCAGTGAGGAGGTGGCTGGAGCCCCTTCTGGGGTGTCCCCCTGCACTGAGCACCCAGGGGGTCCCTGGGGACTCACCTCTGCAACCCACCCTGGGTGCTCCCAGCTTGGTGTGCCTGGCCATGCAGGGAGCCCATGGCACAGAGCTGGCCTGGGGGTGCCCAAGACAGGGGCTCTGAGAGTGACAGGGGCTCTGACAGACATCCCCTGCTCTGCCAGCACCCATCCCTCCCGGGGCACGGGGATGCTCCCACACAGTGCTTTCGACACGGAGTAAAATAAATTCTGATCCTTAACAGTCCTTGGCCTGGTTTAAAACCAGACAGATCAGTTCAGTCCCTGAGCAAAGGTGGCAGCACAGGGGGCACGAGCAGGACCCCGGCACCTCTGCTGCCCACCTGCTCAGGCACGTACCAGCAGGAGCCCGTGCTCAAACACCCCTGCCCCAGGGATGGCAGCGGGGAGGCTGGGACAGGGAGCCCAGGTTCCCCTGCCTGCTTTCCCCACACGGTGTCCCCTGCTCAGTGTCCCCTGCTGGGTGTCCCCTCAGTGTCCTCTGCCCTGCCCACGGCTCAGTCTCCCACCACCAGCCCTGTGCAGTTCTTGCCGCAGCAAGCAAAGGGTAGATATCATCATCAGCTGATTAAATGTCCCTCATTAACGAGTTTCTCTAATTAATGAAGTTTTTTTGTTTGCTCCACTTGCTTTCTCCCCCCACTCTGCCTCCTCAGCACAATCCAGGCCATTTCCTTTCAAGTCATTTAGTGCGTGGGGCCGGTTCCTGCCGACACGGCATTTTGGTGATTGTGCTGTCAGCTCGGGGCTGACGACGCCGTTTCCCACATTTGCTCCTTTTTAAGAAAATAACGTGCCAGGAGCCCCCCGCATGCAGAGGACGGGTCAGAGCAATCAGCTGAGAGCAAAGCCCTGCACTAACCATGAGGCAGCTGCCAGCCACGAGCACTGGGCCACCAAACCTGGGCCAGGCCAGCACAGTGACAGTGGTGACAGTGGTGACAGTGGTGACAGTGGTGACAGTGGGGCTACGGGCTGCTCCCCAGCACCTGTGCCCTGCTGCCACCACAGCTTCCTCCAAGGCTCACGGCCACCCTGCTGCCTTGGCCTGACCCCAGACCCATCTCCAGCCCAGGGCAACTCCCAGCAGCCGGCTCTGCCCACGGCTGTGCCCTTCCTGTGCTACACACACGGTGCTGATGGTGCAGGGTGGCACAGCACAGGTCACAGTCACGGCATGGCACTGCCAGTCACGGCATGGCACTGCCTGGTCACATTGACCCTGCCTGGTCACACTGACCCTGCCTGGTCATGACACTCAGGTCATAGCACACACACAGCTGGGTGAAGCCACACGTGGAGTGCAACTGCAGAGGGCAGACAGCCCTGTCACTCCACACCTCCCCACCCTGACACCATTCCCCACCGCCTGTGGCTGTCCTGCTCCTCCCACCGGGATGCAGACACTGCTGAAGGGGGAGAGAGGGGCCCACAGCACCCCAGCATCCACAGAGCCCCCCCAGGTGCTCCTGCAAGCTGCAGAGCCTCAGTGGGCATATCCTGCAGGCAGGGCAGGGCAGGCAGAAAACACTTTGCTGTGACCTGGAATGGCTCCTGCCTGCTTGCTGATGCCAGGGCACACCCTTGCCACTTCATGAGGGAGCCTGAGGTCACTGCTGAGCACAGGGAAGGGTGCCCAGCAATTCCAAACGCCTCCTGTGGGGGACCCGCTGTGCCCCCAGCAGGAGACGGGTGAGCAGCAGCCAGGGGCACTGGTGGGACCATCTGCCCTGGAGCAGGGCGGTGTGCTGAGCAGCAGACACACATTCAAGAGATGCCCCGGTGGAGGCAGAAGGGTCCTGGCACGGCCCAAGGTAGCCCCCAGGCATCCTGTGCCCACCACGGTGCCCAGCACGACTCATCTGCGTGACAGACACAGCGTTTCCCCCCCTGGATCCGGCCCTCGCCCATGCTAATGACTGTCAACATGGAACACAGGCCACGAAGGGGAAGAAAATTACTCCCTGAAAAGGAATTGACTGATCCCTGTCATTTCTCACAAAACCACTGACCTGTAAATATTTCATTACCCCAAAAGCTGTGCCATCCATACAAAGCAGTGCCCGGCGCTGTGCAGGCACGGAGCTCCTGGCTGTGGGCAGGGGGGTCAGGGGAGGGACGAGCCCTGCCCACCGTGGGGATGTCAGGAGCTGGGGGTGGGCGGCTTACCCCCGAAATGGGGCCACAGCCATCCCACAGAGAGCTGGGGGGGACGATGGGCATGGACCGTCTGGAGGGAGCAGGGAAGCAGAGAGGAGCTGCAGGGACCAGCGGCAGCAGTGGATGAATGTCTTCATCCCCGACAGCAGGGAGGGGTGAGAGGTTGGTAATGGCATCCCAGGGAGGCTGCGGGGGGAAAGGAGAGCTCCAGTGAGCAGGCAGGACCTGAGCGGGAGGAGGAGGAGGAGGAGGAGGAGCGGCGGGGGAAGCAGAGCAGCCTGTTGGCGAGGCAAACACCATTTTCCTGGGTTGCCACGCACTCCGCATCCCCCTGCCCTGCTCCTGCCCTTGGCCCTCCTGGGCTACCGGGGACGCTGCTGCCCCTGTGCCCGGGAGAGCCCGGGGGGGACAGAGGAGCGGCGGCAGCCGGGTGACATCTCGGGGACGAGACGCTGGCCCGGGCACACAGCAACACGTGTGTCCCTGTCACCTCCGGCACGGGGCACGAGGGGCCACGGTCCGGCCCCGGCTCCCGGCTCTGCCAGCTGGAAACTTCGGAGCTGAGGCTTCATGAAATATTCATGAAGTAAATGGTGCAATTTCATCTGCATTCAGCCAACTTCATGTATATTTCAGAGTATTATGAAATGATAATGTTGTGTAACCAAGGCGAGACGGGGGTGCTTGGGGGGGCTCCCGGCCACCCCCGCCCGGCTCGCCACGGGCCGGTGCCACCGCCCCGGGAGCGACCGAGCTGCGACAGCGCCGGGGACACGGCGGGACCGGGCACGGGGAGCAGAGCTCCGGGATGCACAGCAGCCCTCTGGCTCCCTCCTGGACACAGCCCGACATCGCCAGTGGGAGCTGGGCTCACCCTGGAGCTGCCAGCAGTGCCAGGGTAACACCTGCGGAGTCCTTGGTGGCACCCCTGGCACAGCTCTGCCTGCAGG